TTATACTGCCCATAGTAAACCTGGAGCATTGATCTATATGGAGGATGAGAGAGCTCTCGATTTTACCAAGTATATCTTAATTTCTGATTTTTACTGCCTTCTAGTGGTCAGCAGCATGTCAGTTGTGGCTTAATGCTCTTATGTTGTGCTTACTGTATGTCATTGTGTTGCGAGCTTATAAAATATTTTCTTTTTAAAGTTGCTATGTGCATTATGGGGTATCATATAAAGAGGCCATGCTTTAAAACAGACTTAAATAGCAAATGGCAATGTTTACAGTACACTAGTTGTCTGGTCGAATGTGTATCAACAGTCCACAAGCTCAAAACATTTCAGATTCTGTATACAAATGTTGTCCATTTGTGATGAGTTGATGCAAAAATGACTGGACAGTACATCCAAAACAGTTCAACCAAAATTCTGATTATGTACTCACTATCTACTTGTTCCAAACCAGGTTCAGTTTGTTTTGCGCTGATGAGCACAAATAAAATATACATAACAACTGTGAACCCTTTTTTTTTCTTTTTTGCTAATGTCTTCCGTATCAGATCATTGTGTGCATTTATTATAGGCAATAAAAAACGTGCAGATTACGCTGCTGACTCTACACTGAAAATTTTAGATAGTAGATTTAACTACCTTAAAGTTAAAATTAACACTCCCTCAGAGTTTATATGGGAACCACTATAAAAGTGTTAAAAATAACACTTTTGAAAGTGTTAACATTATCAACACTGAGAGAGTGTTAATTGGCAAACTCTTATAGTGTAAAATATTTGTTAAATTTACAAAACAAAAATACCAGCAGCTGTGGTTGCCAGAATTTTTCTGTGAAAAACATGGAACTTTTATAGAACTGTATAAATTTACAAAAAAAAAAACATATTTCATGAACTGACACAATGTTCAGTTTACAAAATCATAGTGAACAAAAATGTAAAGTCATTAGACGCATTAATGTGTTTATGTGTGATTGCAATTAACAAACAGATATTCACTGCATAGGTTACTACATAGTTACCTTTAAACAAAAGAAGATGCAGCATAACATCAATTACTCTCAGTTTATCTTGGACTTGAACACAGATGCTATTATCCTTCACAATGGTGAAACAAAAAACGTTTTGCTGTTTTATTTTTTTATTTACTTATTTTTTTGATTTTACGGAAAAATACCGGCAGCTGTGGCTGCCAGTAATCTACTGTTTTTAACATTTTACATTCGTAAATTATCGAACACAATGAAACATACATACAATACATTATACCGACAAAACAAAGACAAAAATAAATCATAAAGAGAAAAATTTATTCGCGCACAAAAGTGTTATTGAAGCTTCATATAATTAGATTTGGATCACAAAAGTCACCTGTTTCTGGTTCCTTTTCTCGACTTTGAATGTCTCTGGAGCATTGCTGTATATGGAGGATGAGGGAGCTCTCAATTTTTTCTGAGTTTGTTTTGCTTAGTTGAACACAGAATAATATATACTGAACAATCTTGGAAAACTGTAACCCTTTACTTCCCTAGGATTTGTTTTTTTTCTCCAGTCGATGTTAATGGTTACTGGTTTCCAACATTCTTCATATATACAGATATACAGTGGTCCCTCGCCATAACACGATTTACCTTTCGCACTTGCAGTTTCGCTGATTTTTTAGTGCAATTTGACATGCTTTTTTTACAGTCCATTGTGTTCTGCGTCAAGATTAGCACATTGTGTTTTGCATCTTGATCGGCTGTAGACCATTGCCAATCAATCCATCCATGTCGTGTCTCTTGTACAGTACAGAATGCTTTTAGCTTGCCAAATTTACATAAATATTTGATCGCTAGCAGTGTGACTCTGAAGTGCTGTACTGTATGTTTTCTCCCCAACAACCTCCATAATGTTGACAAAACATTCTGCTATGTCAAAGGCACCTGCGGCAACAGCTAAAAGGCTGAGGAAGATACTAACCATTGTACAAAAAGTTCTTCTGGACATGCTGAGAGAAGGTAGAAGTTGAAGAGTGTTAAAACAAGAGAAAAGTGTGAAAATGTTAAGGTCTATCTGAGAAAATAGTGTTGTAAAGGGTTTTACAGCTTTAAAACATCTATAATAATTGAAAAAAAGCGGATTACTTTGTGGATTTCACCTATTGCGGGCAATTTTTACAACAAAACTCCTGCGATTAACAAGGGACAATTGTATCTTAATTTTTGTTTAACAGAACAAAAATCTTGAATTGGTTTGGGACAAGCCAAGGGAGACTAAATGAAGACAGACTTTTCATTTTTGGGTGAATAATCCCTTTAATACCAGGTAAAGCAAGCCTGACATCAGACAGCTACAACTCCAAATAAATCCAAGTGTTTGAATCTGCAAAAATGCCTGAATTGCCTGGCTGATCTGATAAAAAAAAAAAAAAAAAACTGAGTGGCTGACTATTCTATTAGAACTTAGAGGAAGTGGAAAGTGAGATGGACATTTCAAATATAATCATATACTCCCTTTCTCTGTGAAACAGAAGAAAAAGAAAAGCACTAGAATTAATTTGCTCCCATATCTCTGGGCGCCCAGTTACTGACTGAAACACTGGAAAGCTTTGAGGGAGACCTTTTTTCCACCATCTCCTCATTAAAAACTCACACATTTCTTCAGTTGCATCATCCATATGAGACTGTCGTGAGCTTGTGGTTTGTGCTGACTTGGCACACGAATGGCTTTGCGTTGTTTTACTGTCTCTTCAGAGTGGTTTCATAACCAACACACTGCAGCTCAGGCACAAATCTCATCAGTAATGGAAATGTGGAGTGTGTTGATAGAGAAAGCCCACGGGAGAGCCGGCGAACCACATCTTTGACAAACTTTAACTGTGCCTTCAGCAATTAGATGGTGTGAGGAATGATAAATGCAGATGTTTTGTGTGATAATGCAGTTGGCTAGCAAGCCTGGACCACAAACAAGAACCTTGCTGAATTGATTAATGTAATGTTTGGAAAAACACAGCTCATGATGAATAGAAGCAATAAAGCAAACACTCCAAAAACAGCATTAAACAAGTCCTTGAGTAAAGCTCGAGTACAAGACTGCAAGAAAAAATTGTAAGTGTGGCTAAAATCAGGCCTAATCCATGTGCCAATTTTACTAAAACATACTAATCCATGTGCTTTTTCACAACAGACACTGACAGCAGAACAATGACTTTCTCTAAAAGATTTTTTTCTGAGATTTTCAGTGTATTCAATAACTTTTGATTGATAGTAAAATAACTTAGGTAAATGCAGCATGATGGTTCAGTGATTAGCAATCTTGCCTGACACAAGGTTTCTGTAGGTTAATTAAGTCAAATTTAAGACTTTTAAACCCTTTTAAGACCATTATATATGATGTTTTAGACTTACAGAGAACTAAACACTAAAGATTTTTTTTCTAATAGCCCAATTACTTTAGTAAATAGTTTTTATATTAATGGAAGATCATGTAAAGAGATGTGTTGCTTTAGTTTTCCTAATATATAATGCTTTATACACAATTGAAGTCAGAATTATTAGCCCCCCTGAATTATTAGCCCCCATGTTTATTTTTTCCCCAATCTCTGTTTAACGGAGAGATTTTTTTCAACATATTTCTAAACATAATAGTTTTAATAACTCACTTATTTTATCTTTGCCATGATGACAGTAAATAATATGTCACTAGATATTTTTCAAGACACTTCTATACAGCTTCAAGTGACATTTAAAGCCTAAACTATGTTAATTAGGTTAAGAAGGCAGATTAAGGTAATTAGACAAATTATTGTATAATGATGGTTTGTTCTGTAGACTATCAAAAAAAAATAGCTTAAAGGGGCTAATAATTTTGTCCTTAAAATGTTGTTTAAAAAATTAATAACTTGCTTTTATTCTAGCCAAAATAAAACAAATAAGACTTTCACCAGAAGAAAAAATATTATTAGACATACTGTGAAAATTTCCTTCATCTGATAAACATAATTTGGGAAATATTAAAAAACAAATTTAAAAACTCAAAAGGCTAATAATTTCTAATAACTTCAACTTTATATTAAACTTAAAATTAAGTGTTAGACTTGTGAATATGTTAAATACATTATTGTACCTTTAACCATATAATACCTACTGTTACATATCTGCATGTATTTAAGGCTTCACAATTGTCAAAGCTTTGCTGTCCCAAGTCATACACATACTGTTTTTCATCCCATTCATTTAGGTAACATATATTTTATTTTGTTTTCCAGATATACTGTAAAAGGTAACTTATACCCATTTTGCATTACATTACATGTGTCTCCACAATAAATAATACAGAGCTTTGATGGTAAAGCTAAGCATTTAAATACTGTATCATCTTACTAAGATGTATTATTTGGTAGACATTGAGCGACAACTGATATTTAGATGCATTTTATCTAAGTAGTCTTCTATAATGTTAAAAGGATCTTATTGATTTACATTACAAGCTATCATAAGTCCAGCTTTCTTTTTAAGCTTACCATATAAATATCAGCATTTTTTTTGCTCCTTTCAGGCCTTTGAATGAAATTACCGTGTTTTTCACCTCCTATATAAGCCATTAAAGTCTGGTGTGTATTATGTGATGCTTAAAAACTCACACCGTATGCATTATTTTTGGAACTGCACTGCAAAAATGCCTTTCAGTCAAGAAGCATTTTCTAGAATTAAAAACAAGCAAAATGATCTTGTTTTTTCTTTTGACATAAGTTTATTTTGCTTGCTCCACTGGCAGATTATTTTATGTGTTTTAGGAAAAAACTCACTTAATGTTGACATAATATTTCTTAAAACAAGATAATAACTTTTGCTTGTCTAGAAAATGTTTCTTAATTTAAGAATTTTTGAATTTTTAGACTAGAAACAAGACTAAAAATCCAAGTAAGAAAATAAACCTAAATTATGCCTTTTGTAAACAACTAATAGTGTGTTTTGTTTTCAAAAGGAGGTGTTTGGAGACATGTAATCCCCTCACCTGCACCTGTGTTGATGTTCCTCATGCTCTCCTTTGCACTGACTCTGTTGTTGGGAGGATAATCTGGCACCGGTGCCTCATAGCGTCGATCTGGGACGCGTGGGCTGGTCTTACTGGGGTAAGATCTAGGTCATAACAGGGAAAACAAGGACAAGGAATACAGATGGTTAAAGAATATTTCAAATTTTCCCTCACCATTTACTCACACTCAAGTGGTTATAAAACATTTATGATTTTTTTTTATTTTATTAAAAATTTTTGGGGGAAAGCAACCATTGACATGTAGAAGCAAAAATACTATGGAAGTCAATGAGCCCTATCATACACCCGATGCAATAAGGTGCAAGATGTACAGATGTTACTACTTCAATGTGTTCCTTGTGCCGCCATTCATGCCGCGGCGACGGCGGTACTTGATGCGCCAGCAGCATTTGACCGCTGGGTGGCACTTTAACCACAGATATTCAGCTTTGCCTTTTCACAATGCTAAACAGACTGTTCTGTAGGCGTAGCTTACTGTATGTGATGTGATGTGTTCAATTAAAATATAATTTTAATTTAGTTTTTCTGGTAATAGACATGCTCTTACACTATCCTATGCTGTAGAAAAGATACATGGTGAGAAGTCAAAAAGCAGATATAAGAATTAAGTTATTAGCCTTCAGTGCCCGATTAAATTGCGTTATGGTGAAAATAATGTTTTGATTTCTTTGACTATCATGGCAATGTTATAATCTCAAATCTTAAACGTGCGCATATGAAAAACAGCAAAATAATATAGATTATCCTGCCGGTAGAGCACATCACCTCACAGTTGTGAACTTGCGATCACCTCAACTTACATTAAATTTTTTTTTACCTGGTTTATTGTAAACTTATTAAGTGCAAAGAGGATTCGTTTTGGAAAATAGAATTGAAGAAATGAATGACAACTAAAATGAAAGCACAAACATTCAGTACAAATAATTAGTCTTAAATAAATAAATAAATAAATAAATAAATAAATAAATAAATAAAGCAGTCTTTTATTCTAAATATAGAGAGATGTAGTGTTTGCTATTTTGATAGAACTAAGACTAGACATGTTCATTTATATTTTTAATTTACGTTTTTATTTACATTTTCGTTGTTGATTATATTTACGATCTCATTTTATGTTTCAATTATAGTACATAATAATAAACGAATAATGAAAATAAATGAATAATGAAAATAGGACATAAATTAAGTCTGGCAGGTTTATTTTTAATAATTTAGTTTCAGTTCCGTTTTTTTGTTTCAAAACGTCAATGTTCTGCTTTAAAGTATAACTGTTGTTTTGTTTTGTTTTTTTACTTAATGGCTCAGTATGTTTTGTATTTTAATTTCATATTCAGTCACCTTGCATATGCGTGTGAAATATAATGCCGCATAACCGCGGAAAAAGAAGAAAAAGCTGTCAGTTAAAGCTAATTAATCAAAATTGGCTATATTAAAATACAGCATTTATGTTAATACAGGCAGAGTGTGAACAAACTAAGGCTAAGATATGTGCTTGCCTTTTATTGCATTTAAAAATATTTGCGGCCTTTTTATAGGCTACAGGCAACTGGTGTATAATAATGTTTTTTTTTTTTTTTGTATGGTAAAGGACAATGCACATTATGTTATTGCATTATGTTATTGATGTAAACTTAGGCTAAAACTTACCATTGATAAACGTGACCTACCTCAAGCAGATCACTTAAAGTGTAATAAAAATAATGTTGCCGCAGGACATAAATGAAGTCCCGCAAGTTTATTTTTAATAATTTAGTTTCAGTACTATTAATTTTTTTCTCAAAACGTCAATAGCACCTTAAATAATCTAAACATTAAAGATGGACCGCAAGATGTGCTGAGTGGCTATGTTGTGAAGAACAATGGCAAAGCTAAGTGTGATTATTGTAATAAACTAATAAGTTATAAAGCAGAGTCCCGACCAACAGGACTAAGCATATGCGGTTGGCTCATTCTTCACAAATATAGAATTAAAATTATGGCGCGTTAGGTTCATTGTGCATCCCGCAGGTGCAACCAACAAGGGTTGTGCATTTGAGTTTAACTTTTTGAGCATTATAAGCAACTCGTTGTTAGTTTTTATTTAAATATATCGAGCCGAAACTAAGCAGCGGATTCTCTCCGCCTCCTCGTTTATAACCAGCTGGACACGCCACTAAAGCAGGAGAGACACTCCGTCGTTCATAATCTTAGCTGATGTGTCGGAGTCGAAAGAATATATCAAAGAGGAATGTTCTTTTGACAGTCCCGATATGTTCAATCTTTTTTTCCCTGTCATTTCTCTTCAGCAAATTATATTTTTAAAGCTGCTTGATTCTTTTAAAACCGAAAGCAGAGCCCGTCAATTGGTGTTTTTTCATAAGATACTCCTACACAACGCGAGCCACAATAATAGACATGCCATGCCCATCATCCTTATACAGACAACTTCGCTTTAAACTGTATTAAGGTCCCATTTACACTGCACAGCAGTTTTATATGAAACGTTAATGATACATATAACAGGCTACATTTTGATGGTGAAATAACCTTTTAAACGATGGCTTTTTATTTCAGTATTCAAACATTAAATAACGAATGCATCAAGTGAAATAACTAATATGCAAAAACACATGTATATAAATATAAAGGACTATTATAATTAGCAAAATGCTGCTCTATTTATCTTTGTATTTTTATAATTTTATTATTGTTATTTATAATATTTTGAATTAATTAAAGCTATAGACAAATACTGCTTGACATTTTAGAAAATGTTTTGCGTATTTTGCCCAGTACCGAGAACAAACAAACAAAAGCACATGGCTTGTTAATCAATTTAATCAAGCTCTAGCCACGAATAAAATAATAGACTATTTTATTATTTTAATATTTTAGACGACGGGTTAGTAATTATATTATAAATGGTTATGTTCAGATCAATGAAATAATAACTTTAATAATTCTGCTTTGCATTTTTCTATGCATTACTAACATCACTAAACCATACATTTGTTTTATAAGTTAACCAAATATTTGCAGAGATTCAGCAGTTTTTTTTCTGACGCGTTTGTCAGTCATGCCAGTCAGTGAAAAAAAAAGTAACTGTGGCCCCGTTTGCAGGTATTCAGATTCGATTTTATTAATCTGATTCAACTTTTATTATTTACAGGACATAAAAATGCAATTAAAAGTTTCAAATCAATGTGCATTGTCCTTTACCATACAAAAAAAAAAAAAAAAACATTGTTATACACCATAGCCTGTAGCCTATAAAATGGCCGCAAATCTTTTTAAATGCATTAAAAAGCAAGCGCTTATTAGCCGTACCTTGAGTTTGTTCACATTCTGCCTGTATTAACATGCATGCTGCATTTTAATATAGCTTATTTTGATGAATTAGCTTTAACTGACAGCTTTTTCTTCTTTTTCAGCGGTTATGCGGCATTATATTTCACACGCATATGCAAGGTGACTGAAATTGAAATTCAAATACAAAACATACTGAGCCATTAAGTAAAAAAACAAAACAAAACAACAGTTATAGCTACTTTAAAGGAGAACATTGACGTTTTGAAAAAAAAAAAAAAAAACTGAACTGAAACTAAATTATTAAAAAAATAAACCTGCTAGACTTAATTTATGTCCTGCGGCAAAAATATTTTTATTATAATCTGCTTAAAATAGGTCAATTTATTTATTTTTTTTGCTTTTGATGAAGCTGCATTCAACTTAAGCTCAATGTCGGCAATGTCTTTAAATAAATAATATATCTAGACCTATTTTCATTATTCATTAATTTTCATTGTTCGTTTATTATTATCTACAATTGTTGAGACATAAAATGAGATAGTAAACTATAATCAACAACGAAAATGTAAGTAAAAATAGAAATAAAAACATAAATGAAAATGTCTTGTCTTAGTCCTGTCAAAATAGCAAACACCGAACATCTCTCTATATTTAGGTTAAAAGACTGCTTTATTTATTTATTTATTTATTTATTTAAGACTACTTATTTGTACTGAATGTTTATGCTTTCATTTTAGTTGCAAAAAGATCAGAAATTGATCTCGCACGCGCAGGGAAAAAAGGCAATTATGCCACACATGACTTGCATCGCTCTCATGCTAAGTTTTGAGGATAAATTCGCATTTAGATGCTGCTTGAAATAAAATAAAACTATCAAAAAGCACATTAAAGACTTTAATAAAAAATTAAAACATTCATAAAGGAGTATCCTATGGAAAAACACCACAGGCTCTGCTTTCGGTTTTAAAAGAATCAAGCAGCTTTAAAAAATATCTAATTTGCTGAAGAGAAATGACACGAAAAAAATAAAATAAAAAGATTAAACATATCGGGACTGTTAAAAGAAAATTCCTCTTTGATATATTCTTTCGACTCCGATACATCAGCTAAGATTATGAATGACGGAGTGTCTCTCCTGCTTCAGCAGCGTGTCCCGCTGGTTAAACGATGAGGCGGAGAGAATGCGCTGCTTAGTGAACCTAACGCGCCATTATTTTAATTCTATATTCGTGAAGAATGAGCCAACCGCATATGCTTAGTCCTGTCTGTCGGGACTCTGCTTTATAACTTAGTTTATTACAATAATCACACTTAGCTTTGCCATCGTTCTTCACATGTTGCCACTCGGCACATCTTGCGCTCCATCTTTAAACAAATGTTTACATTATTGAGGTGCTCTCCGGCGGCGAAGTTTCTGGCAGAGTAGCGAGTGAAAAAATGTGCTTGCAGAAATTGGAATCAAAATTTAAATGATATAACAAGCATCGTATTCTTTCTAATCCTCGCCCAGTTTTAATTCAAGTTGTGTTTTTTATATTTGTGGCTGTGAAGTTTATTAAGAATATATATATATATATAGCCTACTTTATTTTTTTATACTTTAAGTGATCTGCTTGAGGTAGGTCACGTTTATCAATGGTAAGTTTTAGCCTAAGTTTACATCAATAACATAATGTGTATTGTCCTTTACCATACAAAAAAAAAACAAAAAAAAAACATTATTATACATAGTTGCCTGTAGCCTATAAAAAGGCCGCAAATGCATTAAAAGGCAAGCGCATATCTTAGCCTTGAG